AAAAGAAAGTGAGTGTGCAGTGCAAACTCTGTTTGCCAGCAACCAAGCTGGTCTCAGAGCTCAAAAGACTCCAGCCTAAACAAACACATGGAAGTAAGTTCTTTTAAGAAAAACTCAAGTTAGCCTCACGGCAACCTGTCCTGTACATCTGCTCCACTCTCTCCCCTCCTGCATGATCCCTCACAAATCCCGCAATGCCATTCTGACCACATTGAACCTTTCTGGCCCGTGATGTCCTCACATTCCTTGAACCTTTGCTTTTTTCCCCCTATATAACACAACTCTCAGGTCTCATGTTATCAGGACTGTGTTGTCGTGGAGCGTTTTTACTCATAAATGAAGGTATTTAAAAGCTAAACTGTGTATAAACAGACAGCTAAATGAATGTTGGTTAAATCACTGAAATGTAAAAATGACTCCAAAAATCCCCTAAATTAAAGATTCTACTCAATCATTTTAATTTATGTTAAGATGACCCTTTTCGGAGATACAGATAAGGATTTGTTGATTTCTCTTCATATTTTGTGCTTACTTTATCTTTCATACTGGTTGTCATCTACAACCAGACTGACAGAAAGGGTTATGACCCTGAAGATCCTGAAAGAAAAGATGTTAGCCAACATGAAATCTATTATGGACAACACCTCCCACCACCTGCACTGCAGAGGCCCTGAGCCTGAGCAGCTCTTCTACCAGCACACAGTTACAGCGAAGATGTAGACAGAGCTTCAAACCCAGCAGAAGGAGAACAAATCACAGATGAGTTAAAGATCATATAAAAACTTTCATCCCAAACAATGAACTAGTTCATAATAATCCAAAAGAGTTTGACAAGGTCACAAGTATGAAGAGACCGAGAGCTCAAAGAGTAATATTTGTTTGTCCTTGTCCCAGTCTAATGAACAGTTCTCTCTGTTGAACTAACAACACTGAAATAACTTCCAAGAAAACATCCCACCTTTAAAAGCGACAAAGCCTCTAATTCACTGAAACAAATAACAATAAAGGGAACTTGGAAAAGCAAAATCGGCACAAGTTCGCAAAAAGTAGGAACAATGAACTTGACTCGCTTACCTTTTTTTTAACAATGCTGAAGATAATGATCCTTTTCTTATTTCTTCTGGGACAGAGTTTGGCCTCAGCTAGTGTAATATGCAAGAAGTGCAGTG